TATATTATTTTACAACTTGATATATATTCAGTGAAATTTGGAAATCAAGGTTATACTGTATTAAAGAAAGCGATAAGGATAAAAAAAATATGTGTACGACAACATATAGCACAATACTCAAAGAACTTATGAATGAGCTAAAGGACTTGGGTGTTGCCTATCTCCAGAACTTCTTGGGAAGAACATGTCATAAACAAGCTGGTTTTCATTTTGGCTTGACATTGTTTGGGGACATTAACTTTTTGTATTCTCAGACACAAAATATTATAAATTCAATCCAGAGCGACTGGGCTAGAAGCGACACTGGATTACCTGAGTACCAGTTTTCTGGAGTGGGAGTGCTGTTCTTTACCGTGCAGAAGCTCACCCAAGCAGAGGATGTGTGAGAGTGTCATCACGGGTACAAAGCGGAATGAAAACTAGTTTCGAGGTTTTCAGCCACCTTTTGTTAGTGGCGCCTGGCAGATATGATTTAGTTGGGACGACTACAGAAGACAGAGTGGCTCACTGAGGATATATTACCAGGCACCGATATTAACTAGCATTCTTTATGGTTTCCAGGAAGCTTAGGACCAAGTGAAAGAGATAAGATTACACATTTGATTCATGGACTCTGGGGGTCAGGAGACTCGGCAGTTGTTGCTTTATGTCTCAAAGAAGGCTAAAGTTCTGATGCAGTCCCAGTTCCCATTTTATAGGGTTTCCAAAGTGAGGATATGGTAGAATTGACATATGAAATATGATCTACAGCAGTGGTGTACAAGTGAACTTTCTGCAATGAGGATATGCAATTTAAAGTAACGTGAAATACTTGATGGTAACCACAAAGAGCTACTGAGTATGTGGAATGTGGCTAATTGTGACAAAGGAACTGAATTTTAAATTTCATTTCATCTTAATTTATTTACATATAGTTACACAAATCTAGACAGATTAAAAACTTTACTCAGAGACATTCAAATTCTTACATGACCATAGTAAGCAAGGTATGTGCTCCAAGCAATACATGTTTACTTTTGATGCTTGGGCAACATCAGAGGCCACAACCATTCCCAAGCCAAACCAAATTCTCTGCCAATGAGTGGACTTGAACTCACAGGACAGAGTAGAAACTGCCCCTGTGGGTTTCAGAGACTGTAATCTTTACAGGAGTATAAAGTCCCATCTTTCGCCAATGGAGCTGCTGGTGGTTTTGAACTGCTGACCTTGCAGTTAGCAGCCAAATACATAACCCAGTATGCAGCCAGGGCTCCTAAAACCACCCGGAAGACTCCTAAATATGGTTTACAACTGGTGTAATTTCAGAGTTGACAATTAAAGACTGTGACACACAAGGCAACAGCTCTGAGCTTGTGATCCTTGGGAACCCGCATGTCATTTTCAGGTTGACTGAGATGCCCACGCTCGGCTAAACACTAGTTTGGGAAACTTTGTAGTTACGATGTAATTTCCACCTCTACAACACGGGGACAATTAGAATCACTTCCAGTCTCCTCCTCTCTTTGTGGCTAAATTCCCCCGAGGCCTAAGTCATACCCCTAACCTGCTCCACAGTTCCATTCTAGTCCTGAACCAGGAAGTCAGTGCTTTGAGACATCTGGCAGGATTTCCTGAGGCTTATTATCTAGTGTGCAAGGACCTGCTTAGCAGCCACATTCCACTGCCTTCCCAAGATTTCTTCAGAGCAGGAGAGAAAACAAAAAAGGAAAGCAACCAGACTACAGGACATCAAGTGGCTATGTTCTGTGTGATTTCTTGAATCATAGGACGTGGAGCATTGTGAAAGTCAAAGCTCCATAATGATAAAAGACTACTCTGAGTTCCCTGTAAACAGTCCTCCCCCTAATTCAGAAGGAAAAAAGAGGTATCGAATTTGGTGAAAGCAAAG